CTGGGCAGCCCCTGCCAGGGCCTGACCACCCTTTCCAGCAGGAAATTCCTCCTCGTGTCCAACCTGAGCCTCCCCTGGCACAGCTGGGATCGTGTCCAGCCGCTGCCACCGACACCCCCAGGGCCTTTTCCAGCTTTGCAGCCCCTCTGCCCCAGCCTGGAGGGTTCCAGGGGGTTGTGGTGACCCAAGGGCAGGACCTGGCACTTGGCCTGGTTGGCCCTCACACCACTGACCTCTTCCCATGGATCCAGCCTGTCCACATCCCTGGGCAGGGCCTTCCTGCCCTCCCACTGCTCTTCCCATGGATCCAGCCTGGTGAGCTCCCCACTGCTCTTCCCGTCAATCCAGACTCTCCACATCCCTCAATAGGGGCCCTCCTGCCCTCCCACTGCTCTTCCCATGGATCCAGCCTGTCCACATCCCTGGGCAGGGCCTTCCTGCTCTTCCCATGGATCCAGCCTGTCCATATCCCTGGGCAGGGCCTTCCTGCTCTTCCCATGGATCCAGCTTGGCCAGATCCCTGGGCAGGCCCTTCCTGCCCTGCCACTGCCCTCCCACTGCTCTTCCCATGGATCCAGCCTGGCCACATCCCTCAGCAGGGCCTTCCTGCCCTTCCACTGCTCTTCGCATGGATCCAGCCTGTCCACATCCCTGGGCAGGGCAGGAAGGCCTCCCACTGCTCTTCCCATGGATCCAGCCTGGCCACATCCCTGGGCAGGCCCTTCCTGCCCTCCCACTGCTCTTCCCATGGATCCAGCCTGTCCACATCCCCGGGCAGGCCCTTCCTGCCCTTCCCAGCCGCCTCCCGAGTGCTCCGCGGGCTCCGCTCACCCAGGAAGTCGTCGGCCGAGAAGTGGTCGGCGTCCCAGACCTGCAGGGTGAGCCGGGCTGGGATCTTGTACTCGGTCTCGTCCCAGGAGAACATGGACTCCTTCTTGGAGATGACGATCTTCTCCTCGGCCATCAGGTAGTCGAAGGGGAAGATGTACCTCCAGTTGAAGTTGCCCTCCCCGGTGAGCGAGTGGTAGTGGACGTCCGTGTCCTGCTTGTCCTCCTGCTGCCCCTTCAGCCACCTGAGGGGCCGGGGGGGACAGGGGGGACACAGGTGACACAGGACCCCCCCGTCCGTGCAGCCAGGGGGGTCTCCAGGACTGGGAGGAGCCGAGAGAGGGGAGCCAGGAGGATTGGGGCTGCTCCGGGCAAAGGGGCACGACGGGCACAGGGGGATGGGGGGGGGACAGGGAAGTTTGGGAGAAAGGGATGAAAATGGGTCGTCTGGGAGCTGGATGGGAGCTGGGAGTGTTGCAGGAGCAGAGCAGGATGGGAAGGGATCATGGGAGAGCTGGAGAGGGATGGGGGACAAGGGATGGAGGGACAGGATACAGGGAATGGCTTCCCACTGCCAGAGGGCAGGGAGAGATGGGACATTGGGAAGGAATCCTTCCCTGTGAAGGTGGAGAGGCCCTGGCACAGGTTGCC